CGTGAGGTAAGCTATTGCTACAGAAGTTGGGAGAGGGAAGGCAGGGGAGGGAGTCCAGAAGGTAAGTTTCATCTTGTTGCTGGGGCTATGAACTATGAGACATTTTATTCTTTAGCAGATAGGAACCTATGTGAAAGAATTCTGATGTCATAATTTTGGGGTGCCACTGGGACATTTGATAATCATTCCTTTGGCAAAGATGGTACAAACAGAGGAGAGCCTCAGGGTCCAGGGAACAGAACAGAGAAGACAGTACAAGATGTATTCTTGTTTTCTCAGTTGTCCTCATTTCTGTCACTTGGGGATTTCAAGGTTCTTGGGGAAATAGAAAAGAAGAGGTAGTCCAGGCATTAGGGAGAAGATGTAAAGAATCCCACACAGGAAGAGCCATAGAGAAATTTGTAAAGGTGCAGTTTGAGGCCTTTGGTGTGGGATGAGGACATAGTTAGATTGGATTAGTTTGTATTAATAGTTAAGGGAAAAACTGGAAGATAAAGATAATGAAGAAAATGGGATATAAAGTGAGAAGAATCTCATGATTTTGTACAGATTAGACTGTAGGCGTAGAATATAAGTAAATTCATTCATAGATTCAAATATTTCATATCATTGGAGAATAAGGCAGTGACAAGAATAAGACTGTCAAACAAACTTCAGAGATAATTCTTTGCTGAGTTTCAGCTTGCTGCTGGAGCTATGAATTGTGACATTTTATTCTTTAGCAGGTAGGAAACTATGTGAAAGAATCTTCTGATGTAATAATTTCTGGGTGTCACTGGAACATTTGATCATCATTCCTTTGGCAATTCCAGCCTTCTATGAAAGGTCAGTAGAAGCAGTTGATTTGTTCACCTCTACAGGAATCAGACTCAGCCTATTTTGGTAAGTCTATGCATCCTTGATCGAATTAGCCAGAACTTAATATCTATGTAAATTAGATAGTTATACTAATCCATAGATTTTACTGTAGTTCTACTAACTTGTCATTGAGCATACTACTTTTTTCCTTGATAAAGGAAGCACAGTCTATAAAAACCATTATATATAATATTCAAATTCCTAAACTTTAATAATTTAGTTTTATTATTACCACAACAGACACTTACTTATTAGGCATAGAATACTGTTCTAGGCATAAAAAACAGTTATAAGACGTATTTCATTTTTCCTGTCTTTTGAACACATATAAATTTATACAAAAGTTGTTAATTACTGTGTGCCAGCCACTGTTCTAGGTATTAAGGATTCAGTGAGTGGTGACAAAGATAGGCATGAAATGGAGGCAGGAGGGACAATGATTAAGTAAAAACATTTACAAAAAATTAGGGCGCTGGTTCTCAACAGGGCATGATTTCTTCCCCTTCTCCACCAGGGAACATTTGGCAATGTCTGGAGACATTTTTGATTGTCACAGCTTTGGGGGAGGGGTGCTATTGGTGTGCAGTGGGTGGACGCCTTGATGCTACAAAACATCCTACAAAGCACAGGCCAACTTCTCTCCCCAACAAAAAGCTATCTGGCCCCAGATGTGCATGGTGTCACAGTTGAGGAATCCTGAATTAGAGTGATAACTGTTACAAAGCCAAAATAGAGAGTGCTATGAAAACTTCTATAATGGAGTGGTTATGGATGGCTTCTCTGAGAAAGTGAAATGTAAATTCAGACTTAATGAATAAGTTGGTCCTAGCAAGTAAGGAGTGGGGAGCAGTGGGGTGGGGAAGATTTCCAAGTAGAGGCAATAGTAGGCAGTAAAGAGCTTATTTTATATAGTTGTGTGTGTGTATGTGTATCATACTTATATCTGACATATACATTATGTTATGTGTGTGTTTGTGTACCCAGTAGCATCTGCCGGGTACTAATAGTTAACGTTTATTGAGCACTAACTATGTGTTAGGCACTGCATTTTACATGTATTACCTAATTTAATCCACACTATTACCCTGGAAAGAGATACTATTATTTCCGATTTATCCTTGAGAAACATGCTTGGTTAAGTACCTTGCTTAGGATTACATAGTCTGTCCAACTCTTCCACTTTCTTAACTAATGTGCTGTAAATATACAGAGGCGGGGGGATGAATGATCATCAGGAACAGGATTAATGGAACCTATCATGGAGGACGTGAGGCTCGGCTCTACTTATAAGGAAGAGAAGGGCTTGACAGAGAGGCAGTGGGGAGTGGAAGTAGGAGCTCAAGCTTGTTTATTGTTAACACTCATTTCAAGCAAGCTGGGTTTTTTTCACATAGCAGAAATAGACTTCAGTAATGTTAACCATAGGGCACAGTTTACTTCTACCATCTAATGGCTGTTTTATATTTGTTGCTAGATTCAAATTGTATGTAAAGGGGAGTTGTGTAATATAGCATTTATATGCTTCTATAGATATTTTGAAATGTAATTTCTATATGTTTCTATATATCTGTAGATATATAGAAAGTTTCTATGTATCTATGACAAAATAATAACATTAAAGACTCCAAAGAACTTTTTGAAGACAACTCAGCCCTATGCCATTATTTTAACTTTCTAATCTAGGTTTTCAGTGAATTATGCCTTTTCGGTGTGGGACCCAGCCAAGGAGGTTTCCAGTGGAAGGAGGAGATTCTTCAACTGGGCTGGAATCCGGGCTGAGCTCCAGTGCTGCCTGTCATGGGAAAGAGATGTCACCAACTAGGTAAGGTCTGCTCATCCTGATGACTGAGGAAATGCATAATGGCTATTATCAATATAAGCTTTAGTTGGTGTTCAATATTAGCAAGAAAAAAGTCCAGGACCATTAAATTAATATTAACAAACATTCCTTATGAAATTAGTATTAACAGATTACAGGTTTTCTTAGCGCAGTCTGTTTTTGGTACCTCTGTTAAGTCTCAGCGATAGACCAATTCTTTTTTTGGTAAATTTTTAGCTAGATTTTTGTTATTGTTGTTGTTGATAGTTACAAGAAAGATAGCATTCATTTAAACAAGCAAATCTTTAGGGCTACTATATGCTAGGCATAAGGCTACAAATACGAAGAAGACCCCAACCTCAGATTTAGTGTCACTTTGGCTTTGATTTGACTTTTAGCAGAAAGATAGTAATATAGAGTATGGATATTTTATAAAACAAAATCATTTTCTGCAAATTGAAGAAAACTATGAAGAATAGGATTTGTTCCACTTTTCTGCTGCTTACCATAGCAAAACATCAAATACTACATTGTTATATTTCTCATGGCTTAGAAATTTTTAGAACACAGATTTGAGCTTAATAAGGCAGGTACTTTAAAAATCAGAGTTATTCAAGGATGCAGTACTATTTTGGGAAGTACTAAGCACTTGTCTTTAGAAATGTCTGAGGTTAGGTGATTATCTGGTGGGAATGTTGGAACAGAAATTCAAGCACTAGAGATATTTTTGGACTAGATGCCATTTAAAGATTCTTTTATTTTATTTTTTAAAGATTTTATTTATTTATTTGACAGAGAGAGACACAGCGAGAGAGGGAACACAAGCAGGGGAGTGGGATAGAGAGAAGCAGGCTTCCCGCAGAGCAGGGAGCCTGATGTGGGGCTCGATCCCAGGACCCTGGGACCATGACCTGAGCCAAAGGCAGACGCTTAATGACTGAGCCACCTAGGCCCCCCTAAAGATTCTTTTAAACCTGAGCTTCAATCAACATTTGAATAGTGTATGGAATAGCATGTTCAGTTTTATATTTTTCCACAAATATTCTAGTTTTTAGATCACTCAATTGAAGTGATTTTAAGGTGCCTATATGCATAAATTGCCATAGTATTATCACTATGTTTACAACAATGCACTCCCCCCCCACCTTTTTTTTGCCATTTAGCAATCACTGCATACCTTTCAAAATGATCCTCCAGAGGGTTATTTTATATTTATAAATTTCCTGTGACTAAGTGTATGGCAACAACCACAATTTCTTTGCAACATAAGTCTAAAATGTCTGGCTCATCAGTGCCACTGTGTTATAATTATATTGTGACATTCAAAGCTTTCAAAATGATTTAAAACAGTTGATATGCAAACTTTGCTGCTCTGAAAAAATTTCCTATTTAGTATCAAACCACATGTCATTTGCTCTTTTATTCAGGCAACTCCGAAGATGCCCTGGAAGTCATTGCCTGACAATAACTGATGTTCCTATCACTGTCTATGCAACAATGCGAAAGTCACCTGCACAAAGCAGCAAGGAAATGCATCCTAAATAGCATCATTAAGCCTTTTGTAGAGGTTTGACTAGGTCAAGGGTAATGGGCCAGTATCATCTTATGATCTGATAAACAAATAAAAGTGGTGGCACCTTTGGATGATGACAATAGTGGAAGTATTTTCTTTTACTAGGAAAAGACAAAATGTCTTATAAAATTTGTAGTGATAAGCCATCAGTTATGTTTGATAGATAAGATAGAATAATATTTCACAATTAGAAAGTACTTTAGAAATCATTTTGCTCACAGTGGATCATTAATATCAATAATTCAAGATGAAGGTTAATCCACCTTGATTATCAATCATGAAGGGCCTAGTCTAAATAATTAATGTGTTTTAGGCTGGTTTCCTTTGTTTATGTTCGGGTTGCCACTTAGCTGAATCCTTTCACTTGAATACCCTAAGCCAGTTTCTGGCTTGATATCTTTTTTTTTTTTTTAAGATTTTATTTATTTATTTGACAGAGAGAGAGATCATGTGAAAGAGAGAGCACAAGCAGGGGGAATGGCAGGTAGAGGAAGAGGGAGAAGCAGGCTCCTCGCTGAGCAAGGAGCCCAATGTGGGGCTCGATCCCAAGACCCTGGGATCATGACCTAAGCCGAAGGCAGACGCTTAACCAAACTGAGCCACAGGAGTCCCAATAAATTGTAAACTTTAGAATTATCTCTAAAAGCAAATAATAACAGAGAGTTAATACCCAATAGTGGAGATAAAATGGAATAAATATCACTCAATCCTAAAGAAGCCAGAAAAAGGGGAAAAAGGAAACAAAGATAATGAATTTAAGCCAAATTATATTGATATTTACATTAATTACAAAAAGTCTAAATACTTCAATGAATAGGCAGAGATACTCAGATTGGCTAGAAAAGAAGATGCTATCTACTTGAACTTACTTTAAATACTAAGAGACACATAAATTAAAAATATAAAAGGTAAAATAGATATACCATGTAAACATTAATCAAAAGAAAGTTGGAATAGCCTATATTAATAATAGACAAGACAATTTTAGAACAAAGAATACTACCAGGGATAAAGAAAGGCATTTCATAATGTTAAAATGGTCATAACAATTTTAAGTGTTTATGCAGAGCTTCAAAGTATATGAATCAAAAACTGATGAAATTGAAAAGAAAACAACTCCACATTTTATAGTTGGAGATTTCAACATCTTTCAACAACTGGTAGAAGAACGATAGTATGGCAGAAACTGTATATTCTTTTCGAGTACACATGGAAAACTCACCAAGAATGACCACATTGTAGGCAATGAGACAAGTCTCAATAAATTGAAAAATAGGCAAAATATACAGAGTATGCAAGTATATTCCACAGGAGAATTAAGTTAGAAATCAAAGAAAAATATCCAGAGAATCTCCAAATATTGGGATACTTAAATGACAGGTTTTCAAATAACCCATGAATAAAGAAGAAATGGCAGGAGAAATTAGAAGAGTATTTTGAGCTGAATGAAAATGGAAACACAACATATCAAAATGGATGGTGTATAGATGAATAGTGCTTAGAAAACATCAAATTCTTTCATTAGAAAAGAAGAAACATCTCAAGCGAATGATCTAAGCTTTTACCTTAAGAAAGCAGAAAAGATGGGCAAACGAAACCCAAAAGAGGCAGTAAGAAAGACCAGAGATCAATAAAATAAAAATAAATAATAGAGAACAGTCAATGAAACCAAAAGCTGGTACTTCAAAAAGATCAATAAAATTGATAAGCCTCAACAGAATTATCAGGAAAAAAAGAAGACAGAAACTACTGATATCAGGAATGAGAGTAGAGACATTGCTGTAGATCATAAAGACATATTAAAAGGATAAACCAATAAGTTTTTTACCAGTATGAATTCTTTACTCTTCTAAAGCCTCTGCCTTGAGTAAATGCCTTCCTACATTGCTTACATTGCAGATATGGGCTTTATGTAAGGGAATATAAACAGGTTTGGGAGCATCATGCTTTCATAACCTTCCTCCAGGTTGACATCAGCTCATTAATCATTCATCTTTGGAGGTTATCATTGTAAAACATATTTTGTTGAGGTGGCCGATTTAGCTCACTGTAAATGGTTTGGCTAGCTTGGTGAGGCACTCAGTGTTGAGCGGCCACCATTACTATACTTCAGGAGCTCCTTGAGGGATTCAGTTGCTGCTTCTGGCTGGTCATATCATGCTAACTTCCTCTTACGTGTGCTTTTCTGTCCCACGCTTTGGCAGATGATAACAGGCTTTCATTCCTCAATCTCATCTACCTTCCACCCCACCCCCCACCCGCCACCTGAGCCATTCTGCCCCCTACCAGTGTCTTCTGGGGATGATGTCCTCTGGTGTTGTGAAATTTAAAAACTGAGTGGCCTTATCCATGTAGCCAACCTTCTCCCCTACTTTTCAGGACTTGAAAGGTTACCAAAGATCTGAGGGAGTGCGTCTTGTCTCTCTGGTGGGCTGTTCCATTTTTTCCCTCATCTACTCCCTACATCGTCAGCAATCAGAGATCCCTGGGGCTCAGGGGATCCCAAGTGGAGAGTCAATACCAGATTTTTTTTCCCCTCAAGAGTCCTAGGCACTTTACAAGTGATTGCACTGGGAGGTAAGGTGAGGGGTAACTTTTATGGAAATCCTGCTTTCCTGAAATTCACTCAACAAATATGTATTGAGCATAAACCTAGGTGTCAAGTGCTATTCCATTGCTCTTACAACATATCAGTGAATAACATAGACAGTTTCATGGAGTTTACATTCTGGATGGTGCCTCATTTTGTTGCCCTTCTAGTCTCTTTACATAGACTGTGTGTGTGTGTGGGGGGGGGCATATTGGGGGATTTTTGTGTTATATTGCTGGTTATGCTACAATGATTTCTCGGAGTCACTCCTAAAGGAGAAGGGATTGACTCCACACTTCAGATGTGATGTATTTACTGTTTTATGGCCCCAGTTATGGGCTGTAGTCACAGATTTAAGGAAATAGAAAAGACTCTACTTGACACCCTATACTACCATGTTGCATACAAGGATGTGGGGGCCCAGAGAACAAATAGATCTGAGTATCTTCTGAAATACATTCCCTCCCTACAAACTCCAGGCTGAGAATTGAGGTGGTTAGACAACAGGCAGGTAGATGTATTATACTACATCTACAGAATGGGAAATGCTAAGTTCTTTTTCTTTCCTTTTTTTAAAAGCGTGTGTTTATAAATGTGTGTGGTAAACACTTAAAACCATACTTTCGGATAGTTTTATTTTGGCTTCAACTTCTACTGCTAAGTGCTTGATTCTTTTTACATTTCCCAATTCAGAATTTTAAGAGAAAATATCTGATTGTTTGAATTCATCTTTTCACACCACCAGATAATGGGATATTGCTTCACTGGGAAGCTATAGTACAGTCTTCTTATCCAATCAGCTGTAGTCATGACAGGAGAAGGCAGGACACAGGCCTAAATAGGGCTCCTCCCTCGAACTGGGGCTATGGGAGGCCTCTTCATTTTGAAAGGGCTCTTGAACTGGCAGGGAACAAAACAAAAATTTGTCAAAATTACTATGAGCACCAACCCATATTTCTCTATATGAAATCCTGATATACTATGTTTAACTAAAAGAAAAAAAATATGACTTTTTTTTTTCTCCCTAGACAGAAGCTGGAAGAAGATGGAGTCCCATCTAAGAGCTGAATCAGGCTCTTAAGAATGGCAAATTCAAAGTTTCAGGTCATCTTGTGGTGGTCAGGAGGTATATGGGTCAGTAGCTTCAGTTGATTCTCATTTGTCAAGTATAAGAGTGTGAAATACTAACTCTGCAAAGTGGCTTTGTAAATTGTGGAGAAGGTAGAAGAATTTTTGTGTTTTCAGTCTATATATGTGTGTCCATGTGCATGCCTGCTGGAACTACTGCGTAGGTCCAGACAGGGTCTGCAGCTGGGCTGGTTTTGTTTACTTTGTGCTATTGCTGAGAATGAGGAACTAGGTGGCCCTCTAGGATGCTTCTGAAAAATCTTTTGGAAAAGAAAATGGTAGGGTGTTTCAGAACCACTTCTTCCTGTTTGGGTCTGATGGAATATTATGACGGTGCAGTGTGTTTTGAGCATTGTTTCAGTCTGTACTTGTTAAGGCTCTAGACTTTTGGATTCAGAGTTTTTAGTTTAGATGTCACATATGGTTCTTAGAAGGTTTAGTTTGGTCAGCCTCATATTGTGGTTGCTATTGCTTTAATTTAATTAGTTGCCAGCTGAAACTCAGGCCATTCTGAACCCCCCAAATTTCACATTTCCAGCTTCTGTTGGAAATTCTGGTCCTTTAAGACTTGTGTTCTTTCATGTGAGAGTTAGCTGACTTGAGCGCCTGCTGGCTTTCTAGATAAGCCTGGCAAGGGCCCTCTTGATTTTGTCAGTCAGACCCTACCAGCTTTACTCCTTTATGGTAACTCACTGGCTCTATAGGCATTTGGGTATGTGACTCCAGCTTTAGAGAACAGCTGATAGCTGGCAGACAGGTCTGTGGATGCAGGAAGCAAGGGGATAATCATGCTGCCTCTCATTTTGAAACCTGGCTCTTTGGCCTAGCTGAATGACAGCCGACAATATATCCCTAACTTTTCTAAGTCTCAGGTTTCACATCTGCGAATGCCACCTCATAGGATTAATGTGATGATCAAATCAGCTTTAGCTTATCATGGAGTTTGGCATGCAGTAACTCCTCTATGAATTGATATTAGCTATTTTCATTGATATCTTCAACTTTATTATTAATGTACCTGAGACTAGAGGGTAGCAGGGGAATATATGTAGATATATATGTATATCTATCTATCTTATATAATAATTTACATGTATATTTTCCCCAAGGTCAGATTATTTTATTCCCTTAGTAATTCCTCAAAATATTTTATGCCCCCTTCCCTTGCCCCTAAAAGTTATTCCTTTTACATACCTTTATTCCTATTGCTGTGAGGGCCTATTTTCTCTCATTCTGTCTTCAATGTTGATTATCTTTTCATGTATAATTCTTTTATTTCAGTTTCTGTATTTTAAAATCACACCAGCTATTCAAGCCTATTTTTTCTAGACTATGAATATAGACACCTAAGAAAATCATGAAATTAGAAAATACTAGTTGTATGTGGGGAAAAATCTTTTAATAAAAGGACTTTTATACTTTTAAATAGCATTTTATGATTATGTCCTATTTTCTTTGCTGTAATGTCCTTTATGATTCCTATAGAACACCCAGTAATATCTTACAGGAGATTCCCCCTCGTGCTGTTTTCTTTTTCTTTTATTTATTTATTTAAAAGATTTTATTTATTTATTTGAGAGAGAGGGAGAGAGAGAGCACGAGACGGGGGAGGATCAGAGGGAGAAGCAGACTCCCTGCCGAGCAGGGAGCCCGATGTGGGACTTGATCCCGGGACTCCAGGATCATGACCTGAGCCGAAGGCAGTCGCTTAACCAACTGAGCCACCCAGGTGCCCCTTATTTTTCTTTTAAAGAAATAAGGGAAAAAAGTGGTTTAACTCATTTTTTCTTCTCTAGAAAAAATTAAATTATGCTTCCATTTTTCTAATAATTTGTTAGAAATTTATTAAACCTTATAACTGCAATAAACCTAAAATATTCTTATTATACTGATAGATCAAACAAAAGTACTAAAAGCAAGCCTGCCATCTAATTCTAGATTTTATGTAAATTCGTAAATGTTTTCAGGATAAAGAAAAGTATACCTCAGATATTTTGGCGTAATTCAATTCAAAGTATCGTCCCTCAAAGAAAGATTAACCTGAGAATCTAACCATACTTAAAAATGTGCGCCAGTGTTTATTTAGAATCCCTTCTATTTCGTTAGAAACAGGAACAGTAATTTCACCAGCAGGAAATAATACAATGCAAGTAAGTGTGACGCTCCTTTGACTGTTGTTCACTGCAGACATTTTGGATCCAAGGTAAGAATCCAAATGAGAAATAATAACGATCCATTCCCTGATGATTCATTTAAGTCCTGCTCAACTAGATGAAGGCTCCCACTGGGACGAAAAGTGGCTGTTCCTCCTGGCTGGCTTTGTGTTTCTTTCAGTGCTCTAAAGAACTTTGTACGGGGGCAGCTTTGCTCTGGGTGTCAGGCTGCAGGACAAGAGGTGATGCTCACAGCGCCGCTGACCAGGGCTGCTTTGCTGAAGCTCACAGGGCGCCCGTCAATCACAAAGTGACGGATGCAGCCTGTGAAGGGTCTGCCGGGGGCCAAGCGTGGTGTCAGTAGAGACTCTGGAAAAAGAGAGAAATGAAAACAAAGATTGCAGGTGAGCCCTTCCAAGCCCAAATGTCACTCTGGCACAAATACACGTAACAACTGCTCACATCATCAAGATGATTTACATGTCAAAAATGGAATATCGTGATAATTTACTCATTTTCTCAGGAACTTTATCTGCCTTTGAAGTAATGTGAACATGTGGTAATTTTAAAGTTTTGCCATGTTTTCCATGATCAAAGTTCTGAGTGTATTTCAGCTATCTTCCAGGGCTGAAATTTCCCACTTAATATAAAAATTCAATAGTGAATTTTCAGGATCTACCTATGCTTATGCTTTTTAGAGTTGTCTGGGTCTCACTTATTTTGTGTGATTTACTGAGAAAAGGGGAAGGAATTTTAGCTTCTACACTATTTTTAGACTTGGTTAATGTTTCTGTTTAATTTGTATCATTACCCTTCACCCTTAAGCCTCCACATTTTTGCCAAGCTCATAAAATATAATGAGAAAATAATGAATTCACATAAGCTAAATTTTAATTTTTCTGAGCTCAGGGTTTAAGAACTATAAATAGGATAATGATAACTAGTCTAGGCTTTGTATGTCGTATGCCAGGGGAACTTTCTCCCCTTGTCTTAATTAGAGATCTAGAAGAAGCCTTATGCTTATTAATTGTACATATACAATTAAATGTGTTGGATGACAGAAGCAATATAATTTAAAGCAATTTAGAGAGCTTAGAAATATCCTGGAATTAAAATCCATTTAGACAAAGCTTATTATTATGTACAAACAGCTATGTGAGCAGTAGCAGATAAAAGATGGAGAACAGTTAGAAATCACTAACTCAGGGAGGAACATAAAACAGAACAGCAAATTAAATATCATCAAGCAGCTGTAATAAGTTTTCTAAGCAGTGTAGATTAAGACTATGCGGAAGCTTTGTACTGAAAATAAATCACGGAAATCGCATTTCATATTTAGAATGATAATTATGAAGTGTTAGATTTGGAAGGGGCTGAGAGATCACTTCCCTTTGTCTCTAGATCAGTATGACTATATATATTCTTCAAGGCTGCTCAGTGTAATTCATCATTAGAATAAAAATAAGTGAACAGGAACGAGTATAAGGGGCAGAAACATCTATTTCTCCTGCCCATTTTGGAAACTAGTTTTAGAACATGGATTTTGATTCTGTTCAAGCTCACCACCCTGTGGTTCACGGGGAACATCATCTAGAGGAAATAATTTCATATAGAAATTATGGTCTTCGGGGCGCCTGGGTGGCTCAGACGGTTAAGCGTCTGCCTTCGGCTCAGGTCATGATCCCAGGGTCCTGGGATCGAGTTCTGCATCGGGCTCCCTGCTAGGCGGGGAGCCTGCTTCTCTCCCTCTGCCTCTGCCTCTCTCTCTGACTTTCATGAATAAATAAATAAATAAGATTAAAAAAAAAAAAAAAGAAAAAAGAAATTATGGTCTTCATAATTCACCACACAATTTATGGTAGGTAGTGGCAATAAAGTGGCCCCAGAACCCTAAGTAACTGATTAATAAAATCAACACATGATTTTAAGAGCAAACGTTCCTCAGGTCAAAAGCTTGACTATATACAGAATAATGCAAGCTTTTCCGTAGAGGAATGATCAAATCTGTGCGTATGTGTGAACTACATTACCTTAAAATTTTTTTTTATTTCTAATTTTGATTTTTAAATTATACAGTAAAATTGACGTTTGGGGAACATAGTTCATTAAATGCATTAACTTTTTATTGATAGAAATAGTATCAGGGTTCTGTGTGATATAAGAGAACTGGTTGAGATTCCAAGGGAATTCAGTGCCTATTATAGTGCCTATTATAAAATTATTTGTACCTAATTTCCTTCAGTTATTCTTTTTCATGCCTCAGTTTCTGATGTGATTTTAGTGGAGTTAATGTTGAACAGCTCAAAATGATGTAATTAATGACATTCATCTTAAATTATAATTGCTTTTGTTCTAGGCTCACTGGCATGGCTCCTAGATGGAATTAAAAGCTGTAACGGTGCAGTGGTTAAGCTCCCCCTGGCCCACTAGTCCCTGTGCGCTGGCTCGTAAGCGAAAATTTGCTGTTCATTATATGTCTCAGGCAGGCTGAACTCGGCTTCAGGTACACCTTGCCCACCCAGTCTGCGGCGCTTAACAACTCTTGTAGTGGGAGGTGATGGCAGCGTGTAATGCTGGGACCAGACTCTGAAAACAAAAATCAAAGAGACAAGTATTTGTTTGAATGATAGAGTAAGTGCTCTGGTGCAAAGTAAAGAACAAATGCTGTAAGTTCCATGAAGGAGGGCCATGCTTGTTTTGTCCCTCTCTCGGAGCCTAGCACAGTACTTAACAGACCATAAATGTTTGTTTTCTGTTGAAAGAAGTCACGTTCCCAGGCAGCAAGGAGTGGACTATTTAACTTCCATGAAATCCTCTGGTAAGTGTCACAAAAGGGCTATGCAAACATAGCACATTCTAGAGAGAGAGGGGCATGTGTGTGTCAGTAGAGGTCTGTCTGGGCTGAGTCCTAAAGGTCAATAAGGAATTAAACTGGGAGAAGAGTGGGAGAAGCTGTTCCTCAAAAAGATACCAGGGGAGGAAAGCAAGAACATTTTTCCAGAAATTGAGGCCCCGTGTGTGATTTAAAGGCCTGGAGCAAGGTGGGCATCGTTGAACGTTGAGAGAACTGCAAGTCCTGGAAAGCGTGGGGAGACCCCAGAGGCAGGGGAAGGAGGGGCCAGAGGATCAAGGACCTTGCTGAATTTGATCCTGTAAGCTCTTGGGAACCTGTGAAATATTTTAAATCATGTTGTGGTTTCCAGGAAGAAAGCAATGTACAGAAATATAAGAACTGAGGTGACGCATCTTCCACACTGCCCACAGGATGTTCCGTGGTGGCCTTTGCTAGAATCCCTTTCAGAACTGAGGCCAGGAGCAGGAGGAGAGGACTGGGGGATGGAGATGGGCGTGGATAGTAGAAGTAAAGAAAAGGAACGTCTCAGATATTTCATCAGGGAGTTACTGTTATTGTCAGTACTAGTATTTGAAAAATTCACATTACAAACAGAGGAATGCTTAGTTGCTACTATTTTGTGAGTACCCAATTTGATCTGTGCTTTCTCTCTCTCTCTTTTTTCTTACTCTCTTAATTGAATTATTACTTGCCTTTACATGGGTCAGTCTAAAATAATCTAGTTAGGGCACAAGGAAAAACCATGCTAAGTTTTTCCTTAAAATCACCACCAAATTCCAGATGTAAAAGCTTGGTTTTCTCCTTCTTATCTCTCTCTGGCTTTAACATTCAGTTTTTCCAAGTTAGTGAAATGTGTGCAACACACACTTTCAACACAGGTCAAGGTTCCTGCTCCAGAGGGTTAAAACAATTGTGGGGGGTCCATAAGAGTCCTTCTGTCACCACCCTGGATTATATACCATTCTTGGCAGATGAGAGCAGCAATGTTACTGATGATGTTTGCAGGATGGCATCTGGGAACCTCTCTTGGGGACTGTCACTACCTCGGAACAAAACAACTTATGGTCTGCAGCTGTTTTCACAATTCAGACTAATCTTGGACAGGGAGAACTGTGGATTCCCTTCTTTCTTAGTAAGGAAGGGGAATATTTATCAGCAAACTTTTAGTCCTCCAAGATTCCCAGATCCTAGAGCAGTATTAGTAAATGAGTTTTCTTTGTGTTAGAGAAAAAAATAGTGTGTGTGTTTCACTACGTGGATGTGAGGATATATAAAGGGAAGAGAGAAAAAAATAAGCATATATGGCAAAGGGAGGGTAGTATCTACCAGGCAGGAGGATGAAGTGTAGTGCTTATGCGTTACTTTGTTTTAATCCTCGAATAAGGAGTCATAATCACCAGTATACTTTTTCCTATGAAAGGACGTTGTATATAAAATCCTTTGAGTTACTAGGTGAATTATGAAAACACATGGCTCCATTCTTAATACTATAATAACAATTGTAAGAACTTACTGGTTTTTGGATTTGGAAACATGTCCCTTTTAAAGAACTCTTACCTGGAACACCTCCAACGAATACAGGCTCCCTGTGATCGACTGGTTTTGGATTCAGGGGTCCAACCACATGGTTCACTTCAGAGTCCACATCCAGCTGAACCACATTGGAATCTCTAATAACTGAAATACCAGGAAAAGACTGGTCATAAATGGCACTGAAGTGATTAATTTTCACATGAAAGAGACTAATTTATAACAGTGATGGCTTTTATTTATTCCAGAATAAACCTCAGACTTTCTTCTATATCATTGAAAATGTCAGTGTCTAACCAAGCAATCCCTGTAACACTTTCCTTTGAAAGGGAGAATATTTAGGATACTCTGTTTTCTTCTTCATAAGTTATGCATTATTTTAAAAAACTCCCGAAGACTATTTTGACAGTATTCAAATTTTCAAATCACATATGGATTCGATATATACAGTAATATTTGATTCTCTTTTCTTGGCCACTTTTAGACTGTCACCCATTCCTATTTTATCATGTAAGTTAGAGTCTGAGTTCTTCCAAGCCATCATTCCACACGTGGGGATGTAGGCTCACTTTATGAAAGAAGCCCAAGACACTCGTTTTTCTTACCTGTAATTCTGTGCCATCTGCCATCACAGAGACTCTGCTTGGGCGTTACTGAGGTGGAAAAGTCTCTGATGCCATTGTTGACTTTCACTAGGACCTGAAAAAGACAGGATACGTTATATAGTTTCATTTTTCCTCATAGAGATAAAACTAGATTTCTTAAATTCACCGCAGAGAAGCAATGCTTTATCTGCAAACAATTAGCTTTGCAATGTGAACGCAAGGGGTCACTCTTCGGTAGGCTATAGACAATAAACTGTTCCTAGGCGAGAGGACAGACTAGTAACAGGAGAGAAGCTGGGGGAGAGGAACAACAAGAGAATAAAATGAATGCCTTTAATTTTTATGGATTGAATGTGTTCTACAAAGCAGGTTAAGGTATTGGTGGGGGGCGTGGACTGTGGAGCCAGACTGCCTGGGTTCATATCCCAGTGCCCCCATCACCTCACCCTGCCTGTTTTCTCACTTGTGAAACCTACCTCACAGAGCCACTGGAGGGCTAACGGAGTCCGTCTGTATTTAGAATAGTACTTGACACACAGTGAGCACGATATAAGGATTTTATCATTATATGGTTTAATAGTACCAGAACTCAAATAAAAATCAGTTCTATTAAGTTAGGGGCAGTAATGAAAACATGCTGCTTTCTCCATAATATTTAGTCGAACACTTCCATGAATATTCTTTGGTCATACTTTTTCAGGATGAAAGTGGTGCTTAATTATAACAATCTTTTTATTTCTAGCAATTGAAAATAATATATATGTGTATATGCATATATGTATATATATACACCTGGTATGCAAATATATTATAGATAGAAAGATAGATGCTTTAGTGTTTGTTCATTTTGATAGCTGGATGTGTTTGCTGCTCTCATTCGTTTAAAAATGTTTTCTTCCAATTCTTTCATTAAAACCTTTTAATTCCGTTGTTACTGATTTTTTTTTTTTAGCTTTACCACATTTTCATGGCTCTTTGCTCTAATCGAATCAATTCTCAACATAGGAATCTGAATCTAAGTACTGCCTGCATTTAAATTTCATGTGTAGCTTCCCCATTATTTCCCCCCCCCCCCAGGTAGGAAAGACTGATGGAATAACTCTGTGAAGTAAAAATGCTTCCGACCTAGCATTCAAGGGCAGAGAAGACAGACTGTTAAACAGTTTTTAACCCACTACCTGCCCCTTCTTCATGTGAACATTTAGGTACTCTCCGTTGACACTGTGGCCATGAACAAGGGTTCCGGAACTGCTTCTGGGACGGACTTCAAATGCAATCTCAAACTTCAGTCCAATATTGAAAGACTCATCTGTGGAGAGAAATATTAGCTCTTAAGAGCAGCAGCCTAAATTTTGTAACCGTGGTGTGATTTCGTAATTATACATTTTTATATTCATTTTTTGAAAGCGTGACACCTTTTTTAATAGACAAGCCGCAAGTGGCATTTCCCACGTCAGACACAGGGTGGAAAGCTCCCGGAGGGTCTGAGATAACTAGCACACCACTCCAGCGGTGGGCCGTGGGGTGGGGACAGCACGCCGAAAAGGTGCCGTGGCCTCTTTTCTCAGGGGAGGAGAAACCGATTACAACCAGAAGGACCGTTTACTATTTCACAAGCGAGGAGGAGAAAAGAGCAACCTGGGCAGAGGAAGAAGTCTGAACACGAGTGTGGAGGCCGGGACATTGGGAGAGCACTGTGGAGGCCAGCGCGGCTGGACCAGGGCAAAGCGAGGCCCGCGAGTGAGGAAGGCCACAGGAGAAGGGCGCGCCTGCTCAAGTATGGGAGGTAGACTTTATTTTGCCGTCACTGAGCAAGGGAGCTGACTTGATCCGATCTGTATCTTAAAATTAAGTCTTAATAAAGATCACTGGTGTCAATGCCGCAGAGCATTTCAGAGGCTCTTGCCATGATGCCGGAAAATGAATTCTTACTGAGAAGGGCCGTGCTCACTCCAGGAGCCGCGTTGCAAACCTGGGCATCCTGATAATATTCACTTGACATGTCTCCTTATCAATGACTTTTTAATTTTTCCTGCTATTAGTTAATGTTTATGGAGAACATAAATTGTGCAGGTTGCTATGCATTTCAAGCTGTCCGAGGCTTTGAGTTCTTATCGCTGAAATCCAATGAGAGGCTGAGAGATAGGAGCGTAGGTGCTTTATTGTGGATAAAGGAGGAGAAAGGAAAGTAAAATCATGAGCTAGACAAAGAGAGGAAAGATGACCTCCGGTATTCTATTGGACATGGGGCGGTTTGGGAAGCTACGCTTGACTGCATTGTCATGTCTTTATTCAGGGGATGTTGAGGGTTCCAATCCTGATGCCTTCCTCATACCTAATGTTTGCTCTATAGAGTATTTGTTGGAATGGCTTGGGTGGTGATTGTGTATAGTCTGTTAGGACTTTGTGTATTTATTTTTAGAACTATTATGTTCCATTACTTGGCATAGGGACTGACATGCCAGACGCATACAATAAAAACTTGGTTGAATGGAATGAGAGAGTAATAGTTAAGGAGAATACAAGTCCAGAAATACAATTTCTGAAGGATGGGGCAGCAGAGCAAAGGGAGGGAGGGGAACTTGCTTTGGGAGGGACAACGGATCACTCTAAGAGGGAGCAGAGAAAGACAAGAGCAGGGTGGCTCAGAGCTGACACAGATTAGACCACAGAGCAGCACCGGAAATCCTAAAAGGGCCAAGATGGGCTACATCTATACCAGAGGGGTGGCAGCTGTGGAGAAGCTCTGGTCAGGGAAAGCAAACAGGGATGGGCACGCCTGCCTGGTTGGGCGTGGCAGGAGGGGACAAAGGGGATCCCCCGGAAAGAAGCCATTTTCTAGGGCTGAGTGAGTTTGGCATTCTGACGTTTTAACTCTCAGCCCAATTTCCCTGTCAGCCACCCCCAGGAAAGAAGTATTTATTTCATGATTCATGTTTTGTGCAGAAGTCACTGTTACCTAGAACCACGTATCCTCCTTCTGTTGAAAAGTAGGTCCCTGTTTCCATTGGACCTTCAAAACAAGGGGTCACGCTGAATGTCTGAGAAGCAGAGGTGATGGACGCCCCGTTGAGCTGAAGATTGCCGAGACAGCCACTGAAACTGTAGACTGAGTTGATCTGAGGGAAGAAGACATTTCTTAAAATCCATTTTCTCAACATGCACGGGTGCGCACCAAAGGGAAACAAAACGAAGGGATTCGAGTCCTGAGAGAAACGATGCAGTCCCCTGTCTTATTTATCTAGCTGCCTGAAGGGTCAGTTGTTTTCCAGGTAGTTGCTGCTTTAATGAGTTCTTTGAAGCTGGGATTTTGTATTTGATGTCAGCCCGCAGTAATTAGCTATGAACATTTTTACATACACTATGACAAATAAGTTGCAGCTATGGTTTTGAAATTAAATATTAGAACTATCCTTGTTTGTTTTCCTTCAAGAATGACAGCAGGCCCCCAAATCACCTAATGCTGATGAGGGCTAGCGAAGTTCTTAACCGTTAAATCTACCATGGTTAAATAAACAGCAGAGAGTTTGCATTTCTGGCTCCATTAACTGATCTTGTGGTTGAACATTTATCATACCTCAGGATGTGAAACTTGGGCCTCTTCAGACAACTGATTTCACACTGCTTTGGAAACCTTCCTTTTAAAGGAGTTGTCATGAAATTGGGGCTACTTGCCTAAAATCTCATTATAACATGTACTCCCCCTTTTTTTGCTTTATCCACATATATTAGGGAATCTTAGAAATGCATCAGTTCTTTCGTGCTGAAGTCAAATCTATATTTATGTTAAGAAAGATTTAGTCCTTTGATGCATTCCCTTTATTGCTAAATATTTTTGTAAAGGTGCAATATTATTAACTTTTAAAGTACAAAAGTAACATGCTTTTTACTATAACCCCCACTTCTCCCCTCCCCCCAGGGGTAACCACACTTCCTTGCACATTTACAAATCGTGTGTGTGTGTGTGTGTGTGTATGTATGTAGGAAACAAAAATGAAATCATAGTCTACAGAATGGCCCCAAAGTTTTTTGTCACTCAATGATATATAATGGAATGACATTCTTTCTTCTATTTTTTTTGTATTTTTTACACTAAAATCATGTGCACTTGCTGAACAAATAAGCATCTCCTTGAGACATAACTTCTCATGACAGTTTAGACCTCTGAAACTGTTTCATCTCATCTCTACCTTAGAATCAAAAGATCCCTCCTGACTTTGTAATGCCAGAGGACAGACAGACATCCCCTGGGGCAATACTCACTTTGATAGCCTATATCCAGCGAAACTACAGTTCTATTCTTGCCAGTTTGCTGATGGTATAGCGAGGTCCTGGATTAAATAGTCTTCTGGCTCTAAAAGCCAGTGGCTCGACCTGGTCATGCCTGGCTTACCTGGACATTTTTCACGGCCCTTCCAGGAGCCACACCTCCCAAATAAATAGGACCCTTGATGTTCCAGGCAGCTCCACTAGGAGGAAGACTCTCTTCTAGGACTCGAAGGCCATCAATGATCAGTCGGCCACTGCTCTTTTCCCGAATAAATATCACCTGGATGGAGAGAAGGACAACAGCCCATGTCAAGTGCATCCCAAGATTCGGGGGAAGGCTCGGGTGCCTCTTCTCCAAACTTCGCTATTGCAGTACTGTGGAAAATCTGCAGAAGTTCTTTAAAAAAACTGATCCTTTCTCTGAAGGTCAAGAGATTGTTTTTTCCTTTAAAGCTTGATTTAAAAGCTACAGGCTTAATTTCTGGATACAGCTTACATGTATTTAGTAGAGTTCTCAATGAAGTTCTTGGCAGGTGGCCAGCCCACTTGGTTTCTCCCTCTCCTAAATTTATGGTGATTAATGCATCTTATGTTTCTTACTCTTTCCATTATGTAACACTGATTTGCTTCAATATTTAGATATTCTCCCTGTGGTATCCTAGCTTCCTAACAGATTTTTTCTTCACTTTGTATCTTCCATGGCTTAGCCTATAAAAGACACCCAGCAATTGTTGTTGAAATTTAGAAACTCACAGGCAGTGGGAAAACAAGTGAAAAATTGTTAGAAATTAAACTTCAGGTTATGTTTGCCATTGGCCCTTTGGTGAAAATAATTACACTAAAAAAAATTACATGCAGCCTGTATCTCTTTTTAAATAATATGCTTCAAGATTTTTATAAGGAATTAAAAAATTTTTCTCAAAATTGAACTCTGAGCATATGGCAACAGAATTTTAAAATGGGTGTTTCTAGAGAGACCAATAGTGGGCATTAATGTCAGTCCATTTGACAATTGTGACTATTTGCTGGTAATACTCTTCTCTGCCTTCAACTCACATCATGCCACAATCCATCATTGTATTTCTCTTGGCTTCTAATCTTCAGTTTCTTGTGGCCAACATTAAACATGAAAACCAAACGGCCGTGGGCTAAGAATAGAGTCATGAAGTCATTCTCTTCTTGATCTGAGACATAGAAAATCATCCCATGGGAGGAACGAGTTTTCAGACGAATGGAGAACTGAGATCTGGTAAAGGAAAAGAAAAAGCTTACTATCCATAAAATGAGACTGAGGGCTATCTCTAGTTTCCCACAGCAACATGGTGTAAGGAAGAATGAGTAGCCATTCTATCGAATCCCAAGCAGCATTACTTCTCATTATACCTTAGTATTATTTATGAATATTGGGAAAGCATGACTAACTCAAAAATGTAAATCTTTCCCTACTTCTTTATAGAGCAGGGCTACATTCCACATTTAAGGAAGCATTGTTTCACTTAAGGATCATAACGTGTCTTGCTTTGAAAATATGGTTGCACTGAGTTTGTTCATGAGGACAAAATACTAGTCCGTAATTAACGTGCATATAGAAGTTTGCATAGAAACAATATGATTTGTGTGCTATCTAAAATACAGGTTCAACTTGTCTTTCCCAGGAAAAATTAATCAGTAGATATCACAGGCCAAAAATAGCCATCAGAATGTGTAGGAATTAAACAACACCTTCTAAGCATTTAGCTCCAGGCCATATAGATAAGATACATTTATTAGGCTAATTTCTAGTTTGATTTAACTCTAAATTCTTCCCAGTGAATACAAAATACTGATACTACCTGTTGGCAAATAGCAAATTAGAAAGCATTAGAGGTCACTTACTGACTCTACGGATGTTTGAAAGAGATATAAGACCTATATAAGAATATTTGGGTGCTGACACTAGAAAAAGAAATCTTCAAAGTGCTAAGTAACCTGGAGATTTGCAGAATACTGGGAAGAGGTGCTGGGTTTTACGGATAGCTTGAGGGCTAGCTGAGATACAAGTGGTTTTTGTGTTTTTAGTGTCCTTATTAACCTTCCAGCGGTTCAGAGGCACCCCCATTTTCAATTCGAAAGCAATTTATATGGGGGGAAGGAAGGTAATATCAAGGTTAGATGATGACTCATTTGAAATGTGCCCCATGTTCCTTTCTTTGATTGCCTTTCCTTTTTGATAAAAATACAGCAAACTCCTAGGAGACTGCTGTTTTATGCGTCTTACTTTTGGGAAGAAAGTCGCAGAGAATGTAATATATTGGAAAGTAAGAATCGTAGACTATTTAACATTTATTTTGGTGATAAAATAATAGGATTAAGCGGCACAGAAAGGAAAGATCACAGGAAAAAGATGGCATGTGGCAAATTAAGTCCAGCCATGGCCTAAAGTTTCTGGAAGGATAGTGTGTTACTTTACTTTTCACCAAAATCTCCTTTTAAGTGTTCAAACTCTTGGCGGCTGTTGGCTGTCCCTCCATACTGATAGGCGTGCTCTATTGCTCTAGGACTGTTGGAAAGGTGGCAGTAAGAATCCCTTGGAACATTCCTCTCTGGGAACTTCAGGCTGGCAGGATCCCCCGAAGGTGCATCTTTACTTTTCTCTCCCTGTAAGAATAGGAAATAAATCATATTAAGGGATAAAACTGATATACTAGTAGCAAGCGTTCCTTTGTGATTTCTTTATCATTAATAACAATAAAAATAAAATAATACTGAAAGTGTATATTAATTGTGCATTTTCCATTCATGAAATATTAGGCCCCTCTCTTTCCTTAAGCAGATGACAGCAGGGGCTGTAGTATTAAAAAAACAAACAAACAAATGAAAACACAGTATGTTAACAAATCCAAAATTCTAGTCTGTGATAGTAGAGCAGAGCTAACCTGAAGCCACAGGGATAACTGTTCTATCATTTAAATTAAATGCACATCTTAGCCAATGGTGACAAATGGTAATATTGACAATAAAATAACCCTGCGGAATCAATCAATAAAACCCTCATATCATAGACAACAATATTTCTTTAACACACCATTGTTATTTATATAGGCTGTTACTAACATACTTAGTAATAACACCTTCAAAATATTTAAGGATATTTTTGGTGATAAGTAGTAAACTTTTATGTGACAGGATATAGAACAGTTACCTTGTGCTCCTAAAATTGCACTGCTGATTTTAAAATTAAGAGCTGTGAGACTATAGGCTAATATTTCATGGTTACTTAGTCTTAATTTTTGAAGCAAAATTAAAGTAAATGCAAATAAATCTGATCATCCCGTCGTTGTATTCATTTATCCAAGCAAATATTTATTGAATACCTACTAGGTAAAAACGACGTGGAAGGAAATGAGTATTTCTGCATGCGCTCCACGGGCAGTGTGTGATGGGGAAGAGAAAGGTGAGTGAAAGGTGAGTTTCTTTTTTTTAAGGAACTGAAAATTGATTTGGAAAAACAGGCAAGTAAATAGCAAACTGGAAGACAGGCTGTTGCCAGACAGAAATGACCTTTGATGACTTGCTGGAGGATGGGGTTTTGTTTTTCAGGAGGGTGGGGGTGACAGATTGGTGGGGAGTTAGGGACAGTCCCCAACTCTGGCGGCTCCTCTTTCTTTCCATTGCTATGGAGAGGATCTCACTGTTTCTCAGCCAGCGCATCCACTTCGCTATGGGAAGATAGCAACTGTGAATCAACTGCAGGGCTCAGCAAAGCTGGGGGCTACTGGACTACGAGGTCTCCGTGACCAGCCCTGCCTTCCTCTGCTTCCGTGTGGGAATCCATAGACTAGGACATGCCTCTTGTGTGCTGCAGAAAGTAATAAACTCTGGTATATTTATATGTGGCAACCACTCTAAATCCTCTGTGGATATATGCTCTGAATAATAATAATAATAATAAAAGTTATAATTTAATTACTTCACTACCATATAACACAGAGACTCAGTTTACTATCCTAGAATAGCTGTATATGTGGGATTCTGAACCCTACGAGACTCTGACTTTACCAGTGTATTTTTTTTCTCTGAGGGTCTGTTTCTTTGTTTTTCTTTCTTTCTTTTTTTTAAGATTTATTTATTTGAGAGAGAGAGAGTGAGCACAAGCAGAGGGAGGGGTAGAGGGAGAGAGGGAAGCATGCTCCCCGCTGAGCAGGGAGCCCAAAGCAGGAGTTGATCCCAGGACTCTGAGATCATGACCTGAGCTGAAGGCAGAGGCTTAACCGACTGAGCCACCCAGGCACCCTCTGGGGGTCTGTTTCAATGCAGTATGATTCTTTTGTTTCACATAACAGCCAAATTAGTTGAGCTACTTAAGCAAAAGAGGGCAATACATTATAAGGATATGGGAGTATCTTACACAATCCAAGGGAAGATAGTACAGTATAGCGGGGTTCTACCAGGGGCAAGAATCAGGAATTGCAAAGCTAGGAAGAATCGAGGCACTCCTTTTCCAAATGTTTCTGGTATCTCAGCTTTGTTTTCCTCAGACTGCTTTCATTTTTCTTTCTCTGCAGGACAGCTTTCTGCCTTTTTCTCTTTCTACATAGCAGGTTTCTTTCTCTGTACATGATTAACATAGAGCACTTAGGCTTACATGTTTTCCATTCAATGACCAGTCTAGACTAGTGTCTCTGGGTTCTAAGTTTCTAAGGAAGGGAATCTGATAGCCCAGCTTAGTTCACATGATCTACCCTGGTCCAAACATCTATATCCAGGTAGATGAGGTCACATACCTAAAATACTGGGCTTGCCCTGTGTGTAGGGAATCAATTCTCAAAAAAGGGAGTGGTTGGCTGGATACCCCAGAATGATGTCTATTATAATATATAAAATCTTCATTATCACATGAAACACCACATGAGAAACTATGTCCCTAATTAAATTTAAAAACATAAAAATTATGAAAAATTTCCAGGCTAGAACATAGGTGGTAAGACAGGTATTATGTACTCATGGGGGGAGTAGAAATCAGAGTTCCTTTTTTGGAAAGTAGTTTGCCCTGACCCACTAAGTTTATCTCTAAGAATAGTTTGTAAAGATTTATTCAGCAATGCAATCAAAGACTAATGTATAATGATCTTCACCCATGAAGGGAGAAAACTGGAAAGCACTGAAAGTCTATTAATGGTTAAATAAATTAAAATATACACATAAAATGAAATATTAGGAAGTTACTATGAAAATAAATTATTATAAGCCCAAATTGCTATGAATCGGCCTTGATAAAAATTTACACCAGCGGCCACACATTTTTCTGGGTAGCTAGTCCATTAGATTGGCAAAATTATAAAAATTTGATCATAACCAGTGTTAGCAATTGTGAGGGACAATAGGTTCTTTCAAATGCTGTTCACAGGAGTGTAAATGAGTATTGCCTCAATATTGACAATGCACATTCCCTCAAGCCAAGCAATTCTACTTTTAGGAACTGATCCACCAGAAACATTCACAAGGTTCTACAGAGATCTAATGGCTAATATTCATTGAATGTTTTGCTCTATGCCAGGCTTCTAGGGCATTTCATGCATCAACTCATTTAATCTTTATACCAACCCTATGATGCAGATAGCTAAATACGTATTAAACACCTATTATGTGCATTGTTCTAGGCTCTTAGGACACATCAGTGAGCAAATAAAAAAAAGGGAGTTTGAATTCTAGCAGAGGAAATAGAGAGTAAATGCCAAACATAAGAAATACAGTCTATAATAAATTAAAATGTGAAAAGTGCTATGGAAAAGAGAACAACTAGGAAAGGCAAAGGAGATGGGTAGTACTGGGGGAGGGCAGGAGGCCGCTGTGGTACTAATTAGGGGGTTAAGGCAGACCTCACAGAACACTCGAAGGCTGGGCAATCCTGGAAGGAAGAGCCATTCCTGCAGATGTTTGGGGGAAGAGTGGTCCAGGCAGAAAGAAAGATCTTAGGGCAGCAGTGCACATGGCTTGTGCTATTGTGGGCAGAAGAGTGAGTGAGGGAAAGGGGCCCGGATAATATAGAGCCTCTTATGACATCGTAGGGACTGGAGCTTTTCTTCTGAGTGCAGTGTGAGGGGTTCGCTTTGAGCAGGGGAGTACCACCATGTGACCTATGTATAAGCATGTGGCTGTTGCCTGGGGGACAGAGTGTCAGAGGCTCATTGGGAGCCTCTGCCAGGGCTCAGGTGGGAGACGGCGGTGGCCTGGATCAGGGTGGGAGGAGCGGCATCTCAGTGCCTTGTTAAAATTGGACCAGGAAGATGGGTGGGGAGGATTAGCCTGAAAGAGTGGGAAGGAATTGAAAGTTTCATCTGTAATGAAGGCCGCTAATGTACGTGCTGGAGGTAAATGAATGAGAAAAAAACAGTAGTCAGGGAATGCAGTTTAAGAACTCAAGATTTTGTTGGTGGAGCAGCTCTAGTTGATGCCACGGATCAGCCGTGCCTATGAGTGGTTGAAGTGAAGGTCAAGGAAGGAGGGGAAAACAGAATGAGATCAGAAACTTTAATAATTTCCAGGCCTGTGACAGAAGCCCGAGATCGTTACACAAAAGCAAGTGATACTGAGAATTACAGTACTAAATAATACATATTATATATACAAATGGTTGAGTATGGAGCAATTTCAACCATTGTCATGAAAAGCACTGGGCAGTATGGAATAAAAGCTGACTCAAACTGTTTCTTTGGGAATAAAGATTGATACACCAAACTGATAAACAACAATATCAGATACTAGAAGAATCCCACCTTTCATATGTACACACAGTTGCAAACTGGAGTGAATTTTATGAAGCATCAGTGTCTAGATGTGTGCATGGAATGTGAGGGCAGTTGAGAATCTGGCACAGCATTATCATTTACCTTTTTATTCTGACTTGTTTTAGGCTTTGAGGAATTCTTCCTTTTTTTGTAGAGGAGGAACAAAGGCGAAGACTCAATAGGACACTCATAAAGAGAAGTGTGGACCTTTTCCAAATATCGCTGGAAATCTTCGACCTCCACATCTCTATCCAACCTGTGTAGCAGAGGGGAAAAAAAAAAACCTTAAAATGTTGTTCAGAATTACATGATGAAAACTACGGAAGTGGAAGAATTTGGCAATTAAAATTGTGTGTGTGTGTGTGTGATGGGTCTGTATCTATCAACCACTATCTTAAGGAGAACCTTTTACACGACCATTTAACAATTCATGGATAATTTTGCCTGGCAGCAGCCCATTCTAACAGACAAACATCTTTTCCCTCACCACACTCTGGATGATTGGTACCGCCTCCGTGTTACTCGATATGTATTAAGTTTCTCCCTTGCTTGCTCTTGTACTCAGGGAGCATTTACTGTCTTTGTTAAGGACCTAGATTAATGGTTTTGTTTAAAGTGATGCATTAAGAAGAATTTCTTAAACCTCTAACAAGGATTTGGGTATGTTACTTTGTGTTACACCATTAGTAAGTACAGATATAATTGCATCTAATATTTATAGCTTGCTGTATGCCAGGTACTTTATGCACATTATCTCATTAAATCGTCATAACAAGGAGGCAGGCATTATTATTATCTGCATTTGGGCAGAGAAGAAACGAAGTTTGACTTAGCCAAGGGCATACAGAAATTTTTATTTATTTATTTATTAACTGCTTTATTTGAATAACAGATTATTTGGGGGTAAGTCCAGGTGAACCTCTGAAGTTAGGACTGTTCTGGGTCTTTCATGTGCTTGCAAAAGTCCAGCCCCCAGTTTGGGGAATGCCCAGCCCAGGAGTTCTTTGAGGCAGAATTGGAATGAGACAGTTGCATTAAGGCATGTAGAGGTTTGTCTGATGGCCAAGGTGTATGGTATATTTCCAGAAGGGGGGCTAGACAGGAGGAAAAGAAAATGGGATCCCTAAAGTAAGTCTCCGTGGAGAAGTCTTGAAGGATGGTCCAGTCTCTGCAGCAAGGCTTGGATGATGCAGGGAGTAGATGGTTTTTTTTTTT